TTATTAGATCATCAAGAAGAGCTCAAACTATTATCTAATCTTTGCTGGTAATATATAAAAGCGCAAGCTTTAAGTTAATTTAGCAAGTGATAGGTGAGTTTGTGAAACTTTAATAATATTCAGTCTCTTTTATTCATATGTAAATTAGCCATATTTTTCCACTTTCTTTCCTTTCTATTAGGTATAATATCTATACATAAGTAGCACCAGGTAGTGTGAGCTTATTAGTTGAATTTAAAGAGGTCACCACAGTTGTACTAGGTAAATTATATAACAAAACAAAGACATCCGTAAGTTAACCTATAACTTTCAATTTTTATACTAATTCATCAAATAAAAATAAGCTTAGGATCTTTCAGCTTTAGTCACATGAAATAATAATATAGTATACCTGGTTATATTCTGGATGCGTTGATAACTCATCCAATGATGGAGCTTCAGTCATTTCCTCTTTTGTAACACCAACAAGCAGAGGCCAAATTCTTCTTCTGTATTCATCTGTTTTAATTTTTTTATTATTATTTATATTATTTCCTATTGCCTTCACACTTTTCTGTTAACTGAGACTTTTTATTAGAACAGTCTAGTTTACCCCTTAAATTATCTATATTATAAGCATGACACACTGCTGTGGAGATGTGCTGTGTACTTCACTTCTTACAGTACATTTATAATTAATATCTAAAAGTACTCCAATGCCTTACAACAGGACTAGTGCATTTGAAATGATAAACAGGTCTTTCTCTGTAATTCTGGGTTATGAGAATATTCTGGACAAAGAATAATTTATGAATGATGTTAATGTATACAAGTAGACAATTACCACTAACCCCAATGTTTTGATGCCTGAATCATATCAAGCAATACTAAAACCAGCCAAAGTCTGTCGAATATCTTAATCGATTTTTACTTAGCTGGATACTTTCTAAAATATGTAAATCCTTTTTTGCAAAGTACTCTCACCACAGATAAGTCCTCCTTTACTTCTGGCTAGATTCTTCCATTTTTCCACATCAACAGAATCGACATCAGAGAGACATTCCTCAATCTCTTTCCTCTTTTCTACAATCTCGGGGTCTTCCTCCTCCGGCTCTGCTCATAACATGACACAACATAAACATTTGCACAACTTTCACTCGAGATTCAAACTTCTACTAAAAATACACAAATTTCAAATGAGAAAATAATGAAATTTTAAGGAACACATTCGAAGGATTAAACAAATAAATATAGTATAGTGCTGTAAATTGTTTACAATATGTATCATGTACCATTATCGAATTTTAATTCGGAGGGTGTCGAAATGACATCAATATTTTTCGTTTTATTCAAATTTGTCGGATGAATACTCTCTGCTGGTGAACATTCACCATTCATAACACTTTTATCTATAACTTCACTGTCTTTGTTATTGGATTCCATTACGAAAATATTATAAATTATTCGATCGTAAACACCATTTCACCATCCTCTTACTGCTTGCCTTCTAGACGATGATGCCAATTGACACTGATAGGGACAGTTACTTGAAAATTGACAATTGACGTATAACGTTGTTTAATTTTTTCGACCAGAAAGGTAATGATTTCACTCCATACATTTCGTTTACATTTTAATTTTCTGTCAAATGAAAATTAAAATGGGTCGAAAAATTATTTAAATGATACGTTGATTTCTTTGAAGTTAATTGTCGTTCAATTAAGTAAAACGAAATAAAATAGGATGAAATTAACTCTTAAGAAAATTGTGGTAATTTGTTCAGACTTTTGTGAAATTGGACTTTATTTTATTTTCCCACACTTTTGCACATTCAGAGACGCTAAACGAGTAATAGACTACCGTTATTAGTGTTATTACACATTTGAATCTGAAGAAACATTAATTTAACAAAAAAAAAACAATTACCACAATATTGTCAACAACCTCGCGTTCCCACCAAAAAACTGCTGATTTCTTAAAGTTTCATATCCTCACAAACGATTATAATGTATTTTTATGAAGAACAAAATATTTTACTAGAGCTTAATTATACAGCAGTGCTATGCGTTTCGGTTTGAAGGGTGGAGCAACCGTTGTAACTATACTGTGACCTTAGAACTCATATCTCAAGGTGGGTGGCGGCATTTACGTTGTAGATGTCTATGGGCTCCAGTAACCACCGAACACCTGGTGGTTTGTGAGCTCGTCCACCCATCTAAGCATAAAAAAATGGGTTGCATGATGTCAATAGTTTATATATAGTTTATATATATAGTAAATATTTTATTAACATATATGAGTAGAAGGATTAACATTATAATAATATCTTAAAAAGTACCCCCACGCCTTTTTACAATGAATTATTTTCTATTTTTTAGTTGGGTTTTCTATAATAGCGTGCTTTTTAGTTTTTTTTTTCAAACTATTATTTATTTTTCATTTTTTTGTTTAAGTAATATTATTATGGATCATAAATTACCTATTCATTAATAAACATTCAGGCAAATACAACAGTTGCTAAGTGAAAAAAAGAAGGCACTCAAATGAATTTGTTGTTTTGACTGCCGAAAGTAAATAACGGGTATAACGATTTAAAATATTGAATTGTCGGAACTGAATCGGTTCTTGATAAGTATGCCAAGTTTCGAATTATTCCGACGTTTTGAAGGCGATTAAAATCACGGTTATAGATTCCGTTACATGCATACTAACTTTAGTATGAAGCTAATAAAAGCGTATTAAAAACTCGCACTAAGCACCCTGATCACAGCTCGAAACTTTCTCAATTTCGTCAAATATAAGATGGTCCTTTTTACCTCTACTTTCCGTATAAAGTACCTACCGAAGTCAGGTCTGTTGTCTGAAAATAGAATAATTTAATTGTTTGAATAAAATGAAATGAATTAAAGGAAATGAGAAAAAATACCTAGAATTTGAAGAATTGTAAACCGAGAAGTGAATATTTAGAACAATGCAATTTAGCAATAAACATCTACAAATACTACAGATAAATAAATTTCATAGAGAGTGTGGAATAAAAATATATAAACTTTAATTATCATAAATCATATTGCTTTTTGTGTCATTTCAAAAATGTCATAAAACCATCTTGAATTTAAAACAAAACTTTGCAAAAAAAATTGTTTAAATTTAACCGATATGGATTTTACGTCTCAATTATCAAATGGTAAACGTATTACGAAAATTGAAGATATCATCGATATGCAAAAAGGCGAAGGGCATTTTAATGTACGGCAAGTCGCTTTTCATTTACCTCCAGAAAATGAACAGGTTTCATCTTCAGCCTGTACTGAAAAAAGTTTAGAATCTAGTATTTATAAATTAAAATGCAGAACTAGTAAAAAGAAAATTAAAAGAAGATTGAAACGCCCTAAGAGTCCACTGCCTGATGTTGTTTCTTGGCCAAGCGATTCAGATATAACCGTATTAAGAATGAAAAAGTGCTTGACCAACGATGCTCTGAAAAGAAATGATGGAAATCCTGGGGATGGTTTCCACCAACCAGATACTTCATCGATGGTTAATTTAGCCACACTAATAAAGCAATCACAAACTCCTTCAAAGCACAGTATTAACATGGAAGAATATCTTCTACCGTTGACCTCTTGGGAAAAAGTAGATCAAGAAAACAAACCATGCGATTTAGAAAACGATAAAATTAATAATCCATTTAATCCGAAGCATGATTTAAAAATTTATAATGCTGCATGCAGTCGCATAGAAAATTCTGCAATTTTCTATTCGAATGAAAGCGCGGCAAATCGTACAAAATCAAAGATGGCAAAATTTTTGCGTCTGTACTTTTGTCCTTGTTGTACTTGTCTGTACAGAATGGAGAAAAATGATAAAATCAGGGAAGAGCATTCCATTTATTACGCACAATGTACATAATTTTTGAAATAATTGTACATATTTGGTGCAATAAATTATAAATATGAATCTACTATTTTGGCGCCTGAATAACATACAATAAAACTGTGTACTTGAAGTTTTATAGATTCTTTATATATTACCTGGTATTTTATAACAGAGTGACCACACAAGAAAGTGCAATCTGTATGTTAAAATATACCTTTGATGATGAGGATTGTCGCGTTGCCCAAAACGCGTCTTGTTTTAACGATTATTTTTACTCATCCGGTCGTAGCTGGAATAGGCCCTTAGGTCACCAGCAAATAGGTAGGGGAAAAAAAGATTATTTTAATATTATCTTTTTGTGTTGTGCCATATTTGTCTGTCAAGGCAGTATCGATGTCAATAAGTGATGATAGCTTTCAGCATCGCCTCACCAAAACCCGCACCGATCTACTGAACGTGGAAGTAAGTTAAAGATGTCACATCCCGGGTGGGATGCCGAAGCAGACATCTATGATTTAAAAGGCAGCGGTGTAAAACAGATCGTCGATCGTACGCCTCCCAGTAGCGTAACTTTATGATGGCAAGGTTGGCAAAATGCGACGGGCCCCTGGCATGACGGAGCCGCGAAAATAACGTAATTTATAAATTTTGTGTACTTAAAATCAACTAATTTACCATCCATCATTTGCCATGGGCCCCAGATCGTATAGCTGCGCTACTGGAGCTTACCAGTGCGCTTAGTGCGAGTTTTTTAACGTTCTCGATCTCGTAAAAGTTAACTAGTAGTAGTAGGTACTTACTGTATTCTTTTCTCTTCAAAGGTTGTGCATACTTATTTTCAAATTTAAATCTGAGGATTAAAATTGAAAATTAATATCTAAATAGATAAATGTTTGCTTGCAACACTAACGAATAAAACCCGAGAATCATGTCTGAAACTATAAATAAAATTAAAAAAATCCAACTAAGGACATACGATGCGTCGCCTGGAGAACAGATACTATAAAAATTAAAGCAAAAAATGCTGGTCAATTCGTTCGATCGGCGTACCTGCCGACCTAAGGTTGCCAAACGTTTTCTTTCTTTAGCCCACCAAGTCGGTCCGCCCGTGCCATGTTATAAAGCCGGGAGAAAGCACTTAGCCCGAACAGTCTCGTTTCGTCAGACGTTGGCGCGTTTCGGTCATTTCGCGCGCTTTTTGACGTTTACAGAAATCAGTGTTGTAATTTTTACACGGATAATTTTTCGGTGCGTGACAATGGAAATGAGGTAAATATAATACAGATTTTTTATGTACAAGAAATAAAAATTAACTTTCTCGGTTTCTTTATACACAAATAGAGAAGTGCTACATAACACGATTTATCAATTAGTCGAGAAATAAATTGAATTATAATAATTTAAAACTTATGTTAAACCTAATATGATTTATCCAAAGTCAGTTACTTAATTGTTTTCTGTTGTAGTTTGTTTCTATAGTCATTTCAATAGTGACTATTAAATTTCTTGCCTTCTTGTTGTCTATTGTCAGTCAAGAAGTTAATTTCTATTAATTTCTCGTGTACCGCAACATGAGAAATCGCTCGCTTTCTCATTGTACTAATACCTAACGCTTTAAGTTTCGTTCTTTGATTGTAATTGAAGTGAATTGAACTCCTTATGGAACCTAATAATATTTAAAGTCTCTTGTTTTTTATTATTATTTTTATAAGTAGTAGTATCACGCCACCTTAACGAATTAAATGGATTAAACGTTAGTTAGTTTATAGACGTTGCGTAGATATTGTCAAAGTTAAATATTTCGATTATGGTATACCTATGGTCATCATAGATTCCTATGCGAACCCTCAAAGTATACAAATTAATTTGATTTTGTTTTATTTTTTTATTGTATAAATAAACGTACCCTGCGGTTTCGATAATTTTAAATTGATCGTTCAGAAACAAAATCGCGCGATATTTCCCGAGATAAAAAGTTGCGTCTATCACTCTCAGGTTCGTAAATTTCTCGTCGATTTATAGATCCATTGTTATGTATAATTACGATTCAGCTTACTCACTGTCTGTTCAGAGAGTCGGTAAGCTGAAGTAGCAGCGGGCTGGAAATATTATGTATGTATGTATATGCCGTGGAACCGACGTTCACTGTACCAAAACAGGTTCTTGAGTGGAGACGGCGCACCGGCAAACGAAATGGATGAGGAGAGCCAACGGTCGGGCTCACTGCTGTAAATTGGGAGAAGCCTATGTCCGGCAGTGGACGATTAATGATGATGATCATGACCACACTGTAGAATTTACTATAGCAGACATACCTAACGTTGTCCGGGTCATGTAATTTAGCATTATAAAAAGAACTCTATTTATCAAGCCAATCAATAGAGTATTGGAGTTCTTTGGACACATTGCTCGAAAGAAGGCTTACTAGCTTGAGCGGCTGATGATGACGGGCAAGATAGAGGGCAAACGTCCCAGAGGACGCACTCCCTCGAAATGGTCGGACCAAATTCGATCTTGTCTGGACATCAAGCTCCACGATGTCAAAAGTTACAAATTCTATTATAAAAATTTTAATGTAGGAGATTCGTCCCGTAAGACGAAAAAAATTTTTTATTTATTAAAAATAATTAATATCTTGATATTAACATTACAAATAAAAAAACAATCTTAGTTTTTTTTAAATTAACCCAACCACGTTCGAAAGTAGACGCAGACATCGTCGACGTGACTGATCATCCCGTGTGTCAGCTGTCACGTGACATTTGAAAAAATCAACTGTTATTGCTTTTTTACGTCTCTGAAATCACCAATACTGCCACTTATCCGCGTCTTTGGAATATCGAGTGTATTCTACGAATAATTACCAGCCGCCAAGGTTCTAAGCAACGTTAAAGTAATTTCACAGCATTACTAGGACAAGAACTAGTAAAAAAACTAGCCCATAACCGATTGATAGATTGACTAGGTACTTTTTACTCCTATTAAGGTATATTGCATAACGAATCTGCATTATGAAATAAACATTTCAGTGACCAAAATAAATTATCTAGGTCTAACTTAGAATTTTGTTCCAAGGATTTTAAAAAGATACAAAAAACCGCGCAGTAAAGTCGTGCTTATTTATACCGCGAAACATTCTTGCGTTCCTGTTTGAAAGAAATACTTAAATAATAAATGAAATACTTAGATACTAGAAAATAGCAGGTAAATGTATCCAAATGCTTGAATTGGTGTTTATAGTCGAATCCAAATCCAAGCCTTTTGTCCTTTGTTAAGGCTGCCCGAAAATCAAGTACAAATGTAGATTTCGGAAAATACAGTGCTGAGATTATCTTCCCGTTTCCTGTACCGTTAATGTTGCTAGCTTTGCGAGTAAAAGTTAACGAACACATTTCATAATATGTTTAATATAATATCACAGTAAGCTGTTCCGCATTAGCTACTTAAACGCATATTACTTATTATGACCTTAAAGCGGTTCAGTTTTTTTTTTTTTGTCTAATATGTAAATGAAAACGTAATGTGTAACTAAGAAAGTGTTGGGAGACTCGTTACATAATTGGTGCGCGCGGTCGCAACATCAAACAAGTTCATAGTTTTAGTGTTTTTGTGTGCGCCTCACGATTGTGAGCGCGCGTTCGCAGGCTATTTTTATTTTAAGAATTTCTATTTATAATTGTTGTTTTTGTTTTCTTTATTCACCATCGACGTAGAACCTTCCAAATTTGATAATTAGGGAGTTCAATTCCTTTTAGGTTGTAAGTACCCACTAAGGATTTTTGGATCTTTCTCCCCTAAGGATAGGGGAGAATAAGAATAAATGTAAGAAAATTCCGTCATTTTCGAATTAAGAAACACGATATTTTATATACTTGGTTCTGATTAAAAATTAGACATTGCATTACAAATAACATTGAACGTCATTTGAATCTCAAAAGAGATCTATAACACATTCTTTCGTATTAATTGATTTAAAGGATCTAGTGTAATGCAGGAGTCGGTACCGCCATTTTGCAGCTAAGCATTATGGCTTGATGGGTAATTGAGACTACGAACCAAACATAGCCTCGGGAGAATTCAGATTCCAATAACTACACTAGGTAGACTTGCTCACAGCTTCTCTGCCTAACCAAGGCAATTAATTACTAATCGTCAATTATATAATTTTCTCATATTTTTGACTATTGCGTTACTATTCCCCCCGTTAAAACAAATTCTAATCTTAAAACATTAACATGTAACAAGGTAGGTAAATATTTCCTTAAGAATTTGGATATTTTTTTACTAATTGTTAATTATGAAAAATTATACATACTTAGCTAATTAAACTCGGTTCATGAATTTTTATTGCATCATGTGTTTCATGCATTCCAAAAAATCTAACATACATTCTTTAATATTTTTTTATTAAATTAGGTACGTAGATTTTATCGTTGCGTCTGTTTTAAGTTTATAATATCTTCAAGAACATTAAAAGATATAGATCAAAAAGTTTGAAATCATTAATTAAGATTATAATTTTAATTACAACTTGCTTACATTAAAATTTGATCAGAGTGTATGAATAAGAAGAACTTCACGAAATACAACTTGCAGTTTAAACCAATAAGCCTTATAGAGAATCACGCTTATGTGGTTAAACCAGAAGCTATTTTACGCACGAAGTAACGTTGCGCAACGAACTAAGTATCAAGTGGATCTCGTTAAATGCGAATTACGATGATCTTGCGCTAAAACATTACGCTAAGTCACACCCGCATTCAGTGTACGTAGGTAAGAGGATTTTTTTTATATCTTTAAACGAGCAATTTTTGTATATAAATATATAATCTGAATAACAGAAACGGCTCCAACGATTTTCATAAAATTTTGTACACAGGGGATTTCGGGGGCGATAAATCGACTTAACTACGATTTATTTTCAAGGAATGTTGTTTTATTCGTGTTTTCAATAATCAACTTTATCGATAATCAACTTAAACATTATTTTTTTTATTGAAAGATAATAACAAATAATAATATAATATCAATATGTAATTCGTATTTAAATATAATTTGTAAACAACACAATTTATCAAAAAAAAACGGTAATTCTCTAGTTATATTTATATAAGAACTTGATTATTGATAAGTAATAAAGTCAACACGCTGTATATCTTACTTTATATTAATTATCATGATCTAACAATACGACATTAAGAACAATAATAATGTGTTTTTTTAAATTCACATGATTGAATAAAAACTAAATAAGAATAGACAAACAAAATGTTAGGACTAGTGTGTACTGCCCATTGTAGTTGGTGACATATTAATTGTTTGTTTTATTGTCACTGTGTGTGTGTTAAGCCAAAATCATTTCATATGACAAATAGAAGTATTAAGAAATGTTCTGCTTGTAAGAGACGCGTAAATAATATTAAAAACTGTGTTAGTGGTAAAAGTTAGTGAAGTAAGAAACTAATAATAAAAATGTCAGAGAACGATCTAATACTTTATAACGATGGTAAAATTGAGTTAAGTTATTTCACTAATTTATTTTATTACAAAATATTTTCATTGTGCATAATTTTAAAGTTTCAAATCCATTGGGACACGATTGCTTTGCGGCAGAATCATGCAGGTTGATACTATCAGCCGGTGTTTACGCAGACCGCAACAACAGTGAATAATTATTTATTTAGACGTAGCCACATGAACACATAATGTCACATCTTGTTCGAATAGATAAGTTGTAAACCTTGACTCCGTTGCGTTGAGTACCTATACATGTTCCGAGCTGCCTGAGGGATTGATCTGTGCATATAGAACTTTGTATTAGTGTATTCGTTGCCCAGGATCAACTATTTAAATTAAAAGACAATACTTACAAACGAATGTGAACAAATGATGTTAAAATTAGGGTTGAACTTAAGGCGGCAGAGCACAAGGAAATGTGTGTTTAACTTAGTGCGAGTTTTTTAACGTTCTCGATAGCGTAAAAGTTAGGTAGCTCATATTTGTATGGAATGGAATGGGATGGTTAACTTTTACGCTAGCGAGAACGTTAAGAAACTCGCACTAAGCACACCTGGATGCATTTTTCGTTAATAAACATACATTGGTAAATCCTGGAAACATATCACATGACATAACTAAATAATATTACTAGAGTTAATAGAATTATGCACATACAACTAATGCGTAGTGGATATTGATTGTTAAATAGTAGGCAAAGAGAATTATCAAATGATTAACTAAATAGCAGCAGGAACAATTTAGAAATTTTT